GGATTAATAGTATTCCAGTGCTCTTATTACCTGAAAAGACCTACAGGATAAATACAGTCCTATCAAAATTCCAAAGGAATTTTTTTTATAGAAGGGGAGATAAACACATAGAGTAAAAATAAACCAATGCATGTAAATGTTGGAAGTTTCTGCCCTGACTGGTCCTGCAGCCCTTTGGTCCCAAATAAACCCACAGAGGCTTATATTAATGATAAACTCTTTGGCCTATTGCTCAAGCTCATTACTAACTAGCTGTTACGACTTAAATTCACCCATAATTCTTATCTATGTTTAGTCACATGGCTTGGTACCTTTTCTCAGTGAGGCGCTCTCATCGTGCTTCCTCTGCATCTGGCTGGCAACTGTGTCTCTGCCTTTCCTCTTTTCAGAATTCTCCTTGTCTGATAGCCCCACTTACACTTTCTGTCTGGCTATTGGCCAATCAGCATTTCCCACTTAAACTTTCTGTCTGGCTATTGGCCAATCAGCACTTTATTAAACCAATATGAGTAACAAATCTTTACAGTGAACAAGAGCATGACCCCACATCATTCCCCCCTTTTTCTTTTCAAGAACCCTGTATCTAATTTCCTTTGCTTAGCTTTTCTTCTTGCCCATTATCCATAACAACTTGTAAACAACACATTAAACACAAACATCCATTATCCATTTGCTTGGAATATGAGTGTTGTTTTCTAGGCTACTTCCTGCTGATTGGGGGCAGTGATAATCTCAGAGGGAAAGTTTAGGATTGTGGTCAAGTTGTGACTGGATGATTCTGTGAATCATCTCAACCAGCAGCCTTGAAGCTGTTTTGGATGCAGAACTCAGAAGAAACTGTAACAGAGGTGATCTGGAACGTTGGATCATCCAGGCCATCCATTCCCATTGGATATTTTTCAGAGGGTCTTCCTTGATTAAACCTTATTTTTCTTCATGTAGAATGAATCCACACCCTCTTATTTCCCATGGTAACAAAAGCAAAACCTCTTCTCCAAAGTCGCATGTCCTTTTGCAGCTGTTGTTCCTTCCTCAGCAGTCAAACAATTTAAAGACAGCACAGCACCCAGACTCTGTGTATTTTCCATCTTTACATGGCTTCATTACTCTATTTTACTTTTGGGGTTTTTTTCCATTGAGACAGGATTTCTCTGTGTATCTTTGGCTGTCCTGAAACTTACTCTGTAGACCAGGCTGGGCTTGAAATCACCGAGATCCACCTGCCTCTGCCTTTGGAGTGCTGGGATTAAAGGCCTGTGCCATCACACCCAGCTAGGCTATTTCTTTTTTTAAGGACTTTCTATATCTTTTTTCTTTACTCTCTCAAGCCTATGCATATTTTTAAACACACTGTAAACTGTTTAGAGAGTTTTTGTCCCTTCTGAATCAGTCTTTATCTATCTTTAGTCTTTAATCTGCTATACAACATGCCTAGGATTAAAGCAGCAGCTGGCTCCACCCCATTCCTTGGATTCCTGAGAATCTAGCTTCATGGCAAAGGTACTAGTGGGAGCCACGTTTGTTGCCACAAATCTGTGGAGATTCTCGGTCCATGCCACCACCAAGAATCATGCATACCATTTAAGTATTTGGAAGAAGGACCTCTTAAAAGAGCTTTGCAGTTTTTGCCACTAAGTCAGGAAGCCTCTCTTAAAGGAGCTGAGCCTCTGCTTACCTCTAGCGAACAGAGCCCACCCAAGAAAATGCTGCTACCAAGAAGCCATGCTTGATTCTATTGTGTTCAGAATCACTTTTTAAGATTTTGTCAGGTCGTACGTGGAAATTCTTGCCAAATGATGGAAGTTTCTGTCCCGCCCTATTGCACAGACTTTAGTCCCAAATAAACACACAGAGGCTTATATTAATTATAAACTGGCTGATGGCTCAGGCTTATATTGGCTAGCTCTCTCTTAATTATTAACTCATTTCTATTAATCTGTCTGTTTCCACTTAGTCTTGGCTTACCAGTAATGTCTGGGTCTCTTGCTTTCTTAGCAGCTACATGACATCTCCCTTACTATGCCTACTACCTTTCTCTATTCCTGTTTAGATTTTCCGCCTGGCTAAATCCTGCCTGTCCATTGGCCAAAACTGTTTTATTTATAAACCAATAAGAGAGACATATATTCGCAGCACACAAAAGGACATCTCCCATCATGTAAAGTCAACCAACTTGAGAAGAACACCAAGAAGACAATTAAATTACTAGGAAGCAAAATAAAAACAAAAGCCACAGTAATAACGCAAAGGATAGAAGAAGTTTTGAGGGGTGATTGTTATAGAATATTTGTTTAACCATGTAAAGATGTGTAGCATTTGCTTATGTTGTGGAATATTTGTTTAACCATGTAAAGGTGTGTTGCATTTAACTATGTAAAGATGTGTTGTATTTGCCTTGCCTGCCCAAGGCACCTGTTTGGTCTAGTAAAAAGCTAAATGTCAATAGGTAAACAGGAGGTATAGGTAGGACTTCCAGAGTAAGGAGGAGGAGGAATCTAGGCTCAAGAGGGACAGAAGAAAAGAGGGAGGCTCCAGGGGCCAGCCAGCCATACAGATACAGAGGAAGCAGGAGAGTAGGACATATAGAATGAAACAAAGATAAAAAGCCCCAAGGCAAAATGTAGATGAATTAAAAGAGGTTAAATTAAGTCATAAGAGTAGTGGGACAAGCATAAGCTAAAGGCTCATGTCAGGAAATCCACAGAGGCAGCTGACCCAAACTCCCAGTTCATGGACTCTAGACGGAACATTACGGGAATGCAGTAGGCCCTCTGCATGTGGGCAACAGTTGTGTAGCCCGGTCTGTTTGTGGGACCCCTGGCAGTGGGACCAGGACCTATCGCTGGTGCATGAGCTGGTTTTTTGGAGCCCACTCCATACTGTGAAATGCTTTACTCAACCTTGATACAGTGGGAAGGGGCTTGGTCCTGCCTCAACTGAATGTGCCAGGCTTTGTTGACTCCCCATAGGAGGCCTTACCCTTTCTGAGGAGTGGATGGGGGGTTGGGGTTGATGGGGGATGCCCTTCTGTATGCTATGAATATATGCTTCTGTTATTGGTTGATGAATAAAGCTGTTCCAGCCAATGAACAGGCAGAATTTAGCCAGGTGGGAAATAAAAACAGGGATAGAGAAAGGTAATAGGCAGTCAAGGAGAGGCCATGTAGCTAATGGGAAGGTAGGACATCCAGGCATTCTCCAGTAAGATAAGACCATGTGGAGACCAGGCTCCAAAGAAATATAGAGAAACCCTGTCTCGAAAAAAACAAAAGCAACAACAACAAAAGAAATGGGTTAAAGAGAGCTAGCCAATAGGAAGCCTGAGCCAAACAGATTGTAATTAATGTAAGCCTGTGCATGTTTATTTGGGACTAAAGAGCAGTGGGACATGGGAGGAGGCAGAAACTTTTATTGGGGGGAGGTGGAAGGAGGAACTGTGGTTGGAATGTAGAATAAATAAATTTAAAAGTCTCCATATCATTATTTGGAAGCTGGCTGGGGGCCCAAAGTGAAACCCAGCCACCACAGGCGGTGCTGATGCTTATGAACTTGATAATCATGGTTCACAGGTACGTGCTTATCCCCAAACTTGCGCAGCATTTTGTCAGGGATACTCAATAAAACTGCTTATATTTTTAAATCTTTATTGTGACTGTTTTGTGCTGTTACATAACTAATCGGCTATCACTTATATCTAAAAATACAATTTTCTGCATGTGTACTGACTTAGTATGGTTATATTGTTAAGTTTCCATATTGGTGACTTCATGATTTATTTTGTACAATCATATCGTCAACATTTTTCCCCCTTTAAAACATTTTTATATTTACTTCTTTCCCTTACCTGGGAAAGAAAGAAATCATTCAGAACATCAGAAACAGGCTCGTTGGAGGATATGAACCCCCAGAAACATTTCAGGAACTTAGACGTAGGAAGATTAGACAGATGACAGGAACCCCAACTTGAGGTGTCCTTGTTCTCTCTAGTGGGATAATGGTAGGCTCTGGAAATCTACATATTTCATTATTGAGAAACTACCCTAACAGTGATTTGGATCATTTCATGTTTCATACTGAGAGCTGAAGACAACTGTGCTCTTTTATAGTCACAAAGACCCAGCAGGTTGACTTAAATGTACAGTGCCATCGCAGGGTGTGGCGGCCCACACCTTTAGTCCTAGCATCAGGAGTCAGAGGTAGTCGGAGTTCTATAAAATCTACAGTGAGAGTTCTAGGACGGCCAAGGACACAGAGAAACCTTGTCTCCAAAATATATAGTGGACTAAGTCTTGTGCCTTCCATTACCTATCATTTTGGAGAAACTGTCATCAATTTAACCTTTTTTTGAGAATCTACTAAATTTTCATCATTAAAATCCAGGACAAGAACAATTTTAAACAGTTCCCAAATCCCTCGCTGAGGTTGTCCTATGTAATTTAAATAAGTGGGTCGTCTTTAAGCGTTTGGTTTACCGATACCTTCCCAATCTTAAACAATGTTCCCTAAAAACTGTGTATTTGGTGTCCTCACTGAATTGTAGACTTCAGAAGGTCGTGGCTTTTTGGCCTTAAATCTTTGTCTTTGACACTTCTCAAGTGAAATATATCAAGTATGCACTAAACTAAATATGCAACCCGCACACAAAGGTGGCCATTTAGTCTCACGCTCAACCCCGCCAGCAGCTCAATCAATCGCTGCCCATTAGTTAATAACGCTAACCTGTTTGGGGACTTGGACTCGGGGATCATGCCCACGACAAGAGCTGGCCCGGGTCCCCGCTGCCCGCCCAGGCCCGGAGCGCCGGGAGAGGTGACCCGAGGGCAGCCGCGGGGGAGTCCGCCTCCCGCGCCTCCGCCTCGCGGGGAGCCGCATTGTGACGCGCACGCGCGTCCGCGGAGGGGGCGGGGTCTCGGGGCCGCGGCGGGCCGAGCGCGTGGAGCGGAGGAGGGCGGCGCGTGGGCGCGCACGCGCCTGAGCGCGCGCCCGGGGTAGGGTGGGGGTGGCGGGCAGGGCCACTGCGCTCGCACGCCCTTCGGCCGGGAGCCCGAGCTCCCTTCCGCTTCCGACGCGCTGTCCGCCAGCCGGTGGATGTGCGGCAACAACATGTCCGCCCCGCTGCCCGCCGTCGTGCCCGCCGCCCGCAAGGCCACCGCCGCGGTGAGTGGGGGCCCAGCGGGCGCAGCGGGACCCGGGCCGCCGCGCGCGGATGCGTCCGCGCCGCTCGCGGGCTGGCGGGGTCGCGGCCGGGAATCGGAGCCGGCGGGGCGCAGCCTGCTGCCTGCCTGCCTGCCTCGCTTGCACCCCGTCCCCGCAGCCAGTCCCAGGGCTGGTGCTGAAACAGCCCATCTGCCTGAGGAATGTGCCGCAGGAGCTCCGAGTAACTTTGGCTCCCGGAAACTTTTGTGACGACAAAATTGAGCTGTGTGTGTCGGGCTTTCGTGACTTGATTTTAGAGAGGCGACTGTCTTAACCAGACTGTGATCTGCCTCTAAGTGCTAGAACGCCGCGTTATTGTAGCAATGAAAAGCAAGGCGCCTGGCAATTAATCAGCTTGTGGAATATTGTTCCAAGTGTTTAGGGCCGTCATTTGCTTTTGGAACTTAGCAAAGCTACAGTGTGAACAGTTCCGTGTGGGCTTATTTTCTTCTTCTTCTCTTTTAGGTTATTTTCCTTCATGGATTGGGAGATACTGGGTAGGTACCATTATTAGTAACAATAATGAGATGGGGTCATGCTGCTGTTCATTGGTCAAAGGTTGCTGAAGAAGGTTGAAATTGTAGGAACAAGTGTTGCTGGTCACATTTCTCATAGCCCAGTGATGAGACCTTCGTTTCTGCTTACGAAACCTCCAGATGCTCCCCCTTATCTTCCAGCTTGTCTCCGGAACATGTTAAAATTGTTAGCTGCTCTTTGGTTGGGTATTGGATACCAGAGAGGAGTGGAATGTTTGCAGAGGTAGGGTGCAATTGAGAGCGTTCCAGGGGAATTAAAATTTCAGAGCAAGTTGAGAAGGACTAGTTGAGTCTGTTAAGAGAAATAACAATAACATTAAGCATATCAGAGAGTAGATGATCTCTTAAAAAAAAGAAAAGGCACGGGCGACAACTCAAACATTAATTTTATCAAACTTTGGCTTTGTTTTTGTGGTTCTGGAAACCAAACCCAGGGCGTTATATATGCTGGACAGACGCTTTACCTCAGTACCATTATCAATCTATGCCGTACTAACTTTAGGTTATGGTTTTTCTTTCTTTTTTTTTTTTTTTTTTCTGATTGAGAGTTTTTCTCGTGTTTAATTCAGAGATGATCTGATTGAAACGGGTTAATAGGACTGTTGACAAAAACTAAAATTGAAACTAGGGAGATGGCTCTGTGATTAAGAGCACAGGCTGCACTTCTGAAAGACCTGGGTTCAATTTTGAACACCCACATGGTAGCTTACAACCGTCTGTAACTCCAGTTCCAAGAGATGCGGTCACTCCTCTGACCTCCACAGGGTCTGTAGGCATGCAATGCAAAACGCCTGTGTACACAAAAAATAAAAGGTTAAGTTTTTAAAAATTGGTTTAAAATAATCCTAAAGATACATTTTTATAAAGTAGCCCAAATATTATTAAATGTTTTTTTTTTTCAAGGAGTTATTAGGCCCATTGTTCCAAATACTCAGGAGGTTGAGACAGGCCATTTGGTTGATCCCTGGAGTTTGAGACCAACCTGGGCAACACAGTAAATAAGACCTTACCTTGGAATGAATGAGGCACTGTGCTAGATTGGTTGTCCCTTTAAGGTACTAACTTTAGAGATTAGATTCTTGTTTTCTGAGACAGGGTCTTTCTGTGTGATCCTGGCTGTCCTGGGACTTAATTCTGTAAGTCAGGCTGGCTTTGAACTCAGATCTACCTGCCTCTGCATCCTGAGTGCTGGAATCAAAGGCGTGTGTTGCCACAGCCTGGCAAAGGCTAGATTTTTTTTTACTGTGGTGTGTGTATGTGTATGTGTGTGCGTGTTCCTGAGGCCCATCAGATGCCCTGTAACTGGAATTGTGGGTGCTGTCAGTGGGTGCTGAGAGCCTAACCCGGTCCTCTGCAAGAACAAGAGCAGCAAGTGTTCTGAACCACTGAGCTAGAGTGAAATGTGAAGAAAAAAAATCAGTCTAGAAATACCAGAAGCTTCTGTGATAGGAAATGAGGTATTTGCTTCATGTTATAGTTGTTTATGTAAAAATTAAAAATAACCAGTTATAAAAATACCTTATGAACTATCACTAGAAAAGTGGTAACTTGATTAATTCCATGAATATACAGTGAGGCCAGTCTACAAGTAGTAATGTAATGTTAAACTCTTTAACAGACATCATCTGATGTGTTCATGTATAATGTGTAATAAATTAAAATGAATATTGAGGAAGTCCTGTTCTGTATTGCATAAGTCAGTTTTCTATCTAAAATAAAAGTAGCTTTTGCAATTTGAAAATGTTACAATTGTATGGCAAAACCCCAGAATGTTAATGTTTAGAAGGGGGATGCAATGCAAGAAATTTCACAACCTAGATACAGCCTATTTATTTTCATTGCATATAAGAACTTTTATTTTGAAATATTTTCAGACTTACAGGAGTCTCAAGAATAACATAAATCCCTCAATCCACTTTATCTTGATTTTACTAATCTCTTTACTGATAAATCAATCAGTTGCTATATGGGTGAGTGATTGCAGAAGTGATAGTTATATGCCCTATATACCACGTAACTCTTATAAGCTATATATAAACTGAATGCTTTTTTTGTATAAGGACGATGTCTTATATAACCGTGGAGCGGTTATCAAATTCAGGGCATTTAATATTATCTAATGTATCACATGTGCAGGTTTTGCCAGGTTCCTCAGCAGTGCAGTCTGATTCATTGTCACTCATGCATTTAGTTGGCATGTCTGTCTTTATGTGGCAGAATGTTTGTTTTTGAAGAGTGATGTCATTTGTCCTATTTTTGTTTGTTTGTTTGTTTTTAAGATAGTCTCTCTACATAGTCCTTGCTATCCTGGAACTCAGTATTGTAGACCGGCTGGCCTTGGACTCACAGAGATCTGCCTGCTTCTGCCTTTCAAGTGCTGGGGTTAAAGGTGTGGGTCCCAGTGCCTGGCCCTGTCCCATTTATTATTTTTACAGGTCATTTGTACTTGTTAAGGTCATCTCTTCCAGGTTTCCTTACTGCATTGATTTTTCTCTTTGTAATTAAAAAGCAAGTCATGGCCTGGTGTGACATGTGGTTGCAGGATTGTGGTGAGTTGGTAGCAGCTTGAGTTATTTAGGAAACCATTAAAACAAAACAGCAAAGTAAGTGTGTGTGTGTGTGTGTGTGTGTGTGTGAGAGAGAGAGAGAGAGAGAGAGAGAGAGAGTCCCTCGTAAAAGATAAGCAGATTGGAGTGGATGTGTAGGATTTATTCAGTTTCCCCTCGACTCTAGAATGTTAGCTGGTTGTGATTATGTACACTATAGTCCCTCTAGCACACACACACACACACTGAAGCAAGAGGCTTGGAAGTGCCATGCCAGCCTAGACTATATATAGCTGAAACCAGCCTGAACTACATAGCAAGCCTCTTTAGTTTATTTTTTTAATTTTTAGATTATTTTTATGTTATGTGTATGAGTGTTTTGCCTGCATACATGTGCATGCCTATTGGATCCCTTGGGACTGGGATTACAGATGTCTGTGAGCCACCATTTTGGTGCTGGGAATCTAACCTTGTCCTTTGCAAGAGTACAAGTACTCTTAACTACTGAGCCATCTCTCCAGCCAGCCAGGCCGCTCCAAACAAAAACAAATTCCAAACCACACTAAACCCCACAAACTTGTATTGTACAAGTTCTACAAGTTTATTATTAGGCTTTATTCTCTCTCTTTTTCTCTCTCTCTCTCTCACACACACACATATTGGGGTGAGGGTATATACATGTGCATGGATATCAGAGAACAACTGATTAGGTTTTGAATATTGGTTTGTTCTTAAAGCTCTGTGTTAAGTTCTTCTATCTGTGAAAAAATTTAAAGGACTGGATACAGTGACCTAGACAAGGCTGACCTTGAAACTCCTCCTGCCCTGCCTCTGAGGTGCTGTATTTAAGGGCATGTGCCACCATGTCTCGCCCCTTTTGTTTCTCTTATGTAAGAGTTTTTATTTTGTGCCTGGGACAGAGGTTGGGAAATAAATGGTCTTGAGATGTAATTCACATGCCATGAAATTCACATCTTTAAAAAATATATGATTGGGTGATTTTAGTTTACTTGCAAAAATCCTCACTGCCTTATTAACTTCAGAATATTTCCAACATCGCACAAAAGACAGACTTTTTACTCTTCAGGCATTACTCTTATGTTTTTGGTTGTGAGCCTAGCCTTTAACGGCTGAGCCATCTCTCCAGCCCCAGGCATTACTCAACCATTCATTTTCCATGGTTCTGATTATTCTGAATGCTTCATATAAATGGAACCCAGACTGGTCTTCGTCTGGCTTCTTTCAGTTGGCATATGTTTTTTAGGATCATTTATGTTGTCACATAGATAGACATTACATTTTCTTTTGGGTGCTGGTGGTGGTACATTCCTTTGTGTATTCAGATGTAGAGGCCAGAACAGGACACTATGTGTCATCCTCCATTGCCCTCTGCCTTATTGACTTAGGAAAGGTTCTGTCACTATACTAGAAGTTCATTGTTTTGATTAGACTGGCTGACAGGCTCTTGGAACCTATGTCCATCTTCCATGGTTGTGGCTATAGACATATGCAGCCATACTGGACTTTTTCATGGGTGCTGGGATTCAAACTCGGGTTGTCACACTTGCAGAACAAGTGTTACCTCCTCAGCTGTCTTTGCAGCCTGGGTAATGTGCTCTTTTATTACCAAATAACCCGTTGCATGGCTATACAGTTCTAGAATTAATGACAGTTTGGGCCATTTTCACCTTTGGACCACTATGAGCCCACTACTCTGAACATTCACCTACAGGTCTTTGCATGTGCTTAGGTGTCTAGTTCTCTATGTTGTGTGCCAGAGTAGAAATGGCTCCCGAGGTATTTTCACAGTGGTGGTGCCATTTTACAGTTCTTTTGTGGAGGGGAGAGAAGTGCACACAAGTGCATGGAGACCAGTGGACAACCTCTTGGATCGTTCCTTAGAAGCTGTCAAACGGGTTTCTTACTGGGCCGCTTTACGTTCAACAGGAGAGAGCTCTGATCTCTCTTCATTCTCATCTGTAGTTGTATTCTCTCCTCTTTGTCCTCTTCTCCATCCTCCTCTTCCTCCTTTTTGAGACAGGTCTCCGCAGTCCACTCTGGCCTCCAGCTTTCTATGCAGCAGGTGACCTCGAAGGTTTGATCTTCCTGAGTATATGCAGGATTGCATGAACTACCACATCCAAGTTTTACGTTCTGGGGCTCAGGCAAATGCTGTGTAAGCATCCTTAGCAACTGGGCTTCTGTTTGTCTTCCATCAGTTCATTGGTTTCTAATTGTGGATTTTAATTTGCACCTCTTAATGACTGATGGTGGGCATGACTTTCCATGTGGTTTGTTGCCCTCTGTGTATCTTCTCTGGAGAAATAACTATTCAAATCATTTGCCTATTAAAATTGTTTTGTCTTTATGTAGTAGGTTTTAGAATAGTCCTTTATGTATTTTGGATACTGGACT